CATATTACCCTTTTATTATATAGGATAACAACAAATGACTTCTCTAAAGGTGGTTGGTAAAGTAACTGAATTTCAAGTAAATTAAAGCTATAGTTTTGATTCTCAAGATATTATAATTTTCTTATATGTTGTAAGAATATATATTGTGAAAATAATTCACTGTTTTATGGATAAGTGGTGAACATGGACTACATTTAAAATAAACAACCTTTTTTTGCTTTGCTGTTTATGTTTAAGTTTAAAGTCTGTTAGTGATAATGTACAATATGTCTATACAGTTCAGCTTTAGAGCTCTAAAAATAGTGCTTATATTTTGTTAAATTGATTCGTCCTTTCCTTGTTATCATCTTTATCATTCAATGTTTAGACTACATTATCTTAACTTCATTGGCTATTGGATTTCAACAGTGACTGGAAATGCCCAGGTGATGATTATTTGGATTTGGTGTCATCTGAAGTTTGGCTATAGTTGATAATTTCTTGAATTAAATTTAGACTGTTTTATTTATTTTTTTTTTCAGGCTGATATAGGGCTTCCATATCCACAGAGAGTTGTTCAATTGCCCGAGATTGTATGGGACCAATATACCAATAGTCTTGGGAACTTTGAAAGAGAATTTAAAAATCGTAAAAGACATACTAGGAGAGTAAAGCTAGTTTTTGATAAAGGTAAGAAATGACATCATAAGATTTTGAGTAGAGAAATACCTGGCAAATTCTTGCTTTAATAATCCTATACATGGTCTTTTATTTAGTAGGTTTACCTGCTAGACCAAAAAGTCCTTCAGATCCTAAGAAGGATGGAGAGTCCCTTTCATACTCTATGTTGCCTTTGAGTGATGGCCCAGAAGGCTCAAGCAGTCGTCCTCAAGTAAGCAGTACACAGTATTGGAGTAGGAAAATTTGAATTGTAGACAAAATATGCTGACATTTTGCTGATTTGTATTCTAAAAATTCAAGCAGTCTTTTCACTGAAGATAGCAGAGATATGACCTTGAAGTTAAGAGAAACCTGGATTGCATACCCAGCTCTAACACTTACTAGCTGTGGGACTTCAGATGTCAGTTATTAAGGTCTCCAAGCTGCAGTTTCCATTTATATAAAACATTATTAATATTGCCTATGTTCTAGAGTTGTGAGGATTAAATGAGTAATATGTGTAATATTACATTATATATGTTTAAAAAATAAATTTACTAAAACGTTTGGAATTAATAAAAAAGTTCTATAATTCGTTATTTGGTTATATCAGAGGGTGGTCTTTGTTATTTTCTGCTTGACAAAGGTCTTGTTTTATATGCAGATGATAAGAGGACGTCTGTGTGATGACACCAAACCTGAAACCTTTAACCAGTTGTGGACTGTTGAAGAACAGGTAATAGATATTTCTAAATTGTGTAGGTTAAAAAGAGTTAAAATTAGATATGAATAAAGTGTTTATTATTGTTTATAATCTCTCTTCACCATGAATTTAACATATTTAAACTTATTTCTGTATACTCTTCTGCAATCTTCAAGAATTCAGGATTTTGAGAAAATATGAAATTCTGTTTGGGGATAATTTTTAAAGAAGGAACCTGGGTTTTGGGAGGAAGAGTGAAAAAGATAGTGAAATGGATGGAATATAGCTTTTGTAGTGCAGTTTTGGGAGAGAAAAACTTGGGGCCAAGTCAGGTGTGCCTCTGAGCTCTTGTTTTGTTGTGGAGGGGAGCTGACGAAGCCAGTCAGAGGCTTCTGTTTCATTTTGGCATGCATCTAGGACTGTTTGTGGGTAAGGTTGGAGACACATTTCTGTCTCATAGGAGGATTAACTTCACAGTTTATTAAAAGCTTAAGAATCTTGACTTCAAGCATCCAGATTATTCTGCATCTTTATTATTTATTACTATGGGAGAACTTAGGAATAGGTCAGAATATTAAAATCAAATCTTTGAATGGAGGACCACACAAAGGAAGGAAAGTCTCTTTTTCTGTCTAAATCCAAATGAATTTATATGTTTTTGTCAAATGTATAAGGGTGAACCTAAACGTAGTCTACAAGAAAAGATGGTCAATGGAAATCACCAAGATGTGTAAAATATCAATTAATTAATTTTTGCATGCTATCTTTTTACTGAAGTGAATAGAAAATCTTTATAAGGGCTTCTATAAGTTTATTCTCTAATTTTGTTTTCCCTGTGAATTCTTTAAGTTGCTTTATGGGAACTTTTTCTTACCATGACGATTTCTAGTGCCTAACCCCCAAAGTTGAGGAGGGAATATTATAATTTAAAATGAAAATGTGGATGTATTTATTTAGAATTTGAGTATTAAACTTTCTTAAATGTGATCTTGGATTTGGCTTAGAAAAAGCTTGAGCAGCTACTCCTGAAATACCCTCCTGAAGAAGTGGAATCTCGACGCTGGCAGAAAATAGCAGATGAGCTGGGCAATAGGACAGCAAAACAGGTAATTGAGGAGACAGTCCCATATTGTTGGTCCGTTTTTGATAGTTTATTTTATGAAGGATAGTGTGACTGACATCAGCAGACTGCAGCATCATTTTAGCTACAGAGTACAATGATATTAGGATTTTAAAATTAGCATTGTATATTTTTGTGTTGCTTTCAGAGAAAACTTGTGAATATACTAAAAAATAAAAATGTAATGGACTTAGTGTTTGTTGCATGCTTGATGATGCACCAGTGATATACAAAAAAAATTCTTTATTGATTAAAGTATTACATATGTCTCTTTTTTCCCCTTTTGACCTCTCCCCGACCACTCCGGTGCCCCAGCACATGCCCTTACCCCCCTAGTGTCTGTGTTCATTGGCTATGCTTATATGCATGCATACAAGTCCTTTGGTTAATCTCTTACCCTCAACCTCTGCCTTCCTTCTGAGGTTTGACAGTCTGTTTGATGCTTCTCTGACTCTGGATCTATTTTTGTTTATCAGTTTATGTTGTCCATTATATTCCACAAATGAGTGAGATTATTTGATACTTATCTTTCTCTGACTGGCTTATTTCACTTAGCATAATGCTGTCCATGTCCATCCATGCTGTTGCGAATGGTAAGACTTCCATCTTTTTTTAGCAGCGTAGTATTCCATTGTGTAGATGTACCACAATTTTCTAATCCACTCATCTGCTGATGGGCACTTAGGCTGTTTCCAGATCTTAGCTATGGTGAATTGTGCTGCTATGAACAAAGGGGTGCATATATCCTTTCTGATTGGTGTTTCTGGTTTCTTAGGATATATTCCTCGGAGTGGGAT